GTCAGCTATAGCGACCCATCGTCAAGTATGTATGGAGCCTCAGGTATAACTCAAGCCTACCTGCATGATAGCAAAAACTGACAGCGGCGTACCCAAGAAGAAAAGAGGTTTAGATTCAAGTGCAACAATTATCAGTACTATACATACATTGAAACTGACGCAAGATGCCGCAGTATAAACTTTGCCTTTTCAAATATTCTTAGACATCTGGACTATAACTGCGATATAATATTCCCCCCTATCCCCCGGGAACGCCGATTTGTATCTAGGAGGGATCTAGTGAGATCAAAGCACTGACGACAACAGGCAAACCTCAACAAGTCATTCCAAAGTTCCGCAAGTGGCAACTTCGATTATGAAGTAGAATGCGTACAGCGCATGCCCGGAGAAGCTACTAAAACGCCAAATCCGCTAGCCCCTATTTTTATCGTTTCCCGTCCTAAGAAAGCAAAGTGGCAGCTTCAAGCAAAATGTTTTTTTATCAGGTTCATAGAGCAGGATCCAGCTGTAAGTTTACAGAAACAAATTGCTAAGTAGAATTTTCCTAGCAAAGCGTCCAAAACGAAATTACTCATTGTTTAGAAAAGATCTCGCTGCAAAAGCCTAGAAAAGTCAGGCGAATCTACTAAAACTGTGGCCTAGATTTGATGGATGAACTTTTTCAAAGTAGGATATACAACATGAAAATAGACGCCTCATTTACAACGCAATAGTCACATTATCAGTGAGAATGCTAATATAAGAAGGAAAAAATAAATGAATGAAGAGATGAAAAATGCTTGAATCATACCTGCTATCCGAAATGCTTTCATATCCATGGCAATTTTGATTGACTTGGAGTAAGCATCGGCCATCTCACTGGGCGAACTGCTATAAACTGCAAAACAATAAATACAGTGGATGGTATGTTGATAAATAGTAGAATCAGAGAGATATAGAATCATAGATGAACAATCTCCTTTAGGTCCACGAAAATCTAGTCAATGTCTTGAGCAAATGGTCAATCGCGCATGAAGATTTCTGAGCGATGTGTAAGGTATATCGAAAAACGAATAAAATGGAAAATCTTAAGGAAGTCAAAACTTGAAAAATATGCAAGGTAAATAGAGCGCATACCTCTGCTCCTGTTCATCATATCTGAACGGATAGTACTATTGAGCAAACCGGCAGCCGTTGCATACTGTTTCCTTTCCTCGTTGGGATTTCCCATCTTTTGGTAGAGATGAGCCTGTTCAACATGGCAAACTGCAGCATGTCGAGGCAGTTCTTCATCTCTGTAATAGCGTATCTCAAAAACAACTTTTGAGATTATTAGATACCAGAAATTGATAATCAGTAAGGAATTACTCGAGATTTATTCAAATTAAATAAGCTTACTGCATACGAAGACTAAGCGAGTTGAGCTGATTCGCCATCAGAGGCAGGTTGGGTTTTTTCAGCAGTTTCTTGTCGGAATCAAGAACACTCCTGAGTTCTTTCCAAGATGATGTTGAGACCGCCATCTCTGATGTAGGATCAATTAGACAACATGGTTCAAAGTTCTTAATATATATCACCATGAACGTACACGGAATACTATGAATATATCTTTCAACATGACATGATTAGTGCAAATAACCGCTCAGCAAAGCTTCACGGAGATCTGTGTGACCCCTTCCCACATATCTATTCATCGTAGCCTTTTCAAGAGATTTTTTTTTCAAAA